GCTTCACTCGCCTATACCCAAAAGAGACACCCGAGGCGGCGATGGCCTCTCAGGCCAAGAGACGCCTCACAAGACGGGCTCCCAACACCACCCAGGCAGCCTCTACTCCCCCCGGAATCTCCCACCCGCGTCTTCTCACGACGCGAGCGGCCTCCCTCCCCGGCCACCGACTGCCTACTCTCGGTTAGAGGACAGCAGAGACCGCTCCTCACCCTGAGCCAAAGTCGCAGCTTCTCCTCCGGAAGCGGAAACGACTCGCGTCTATGGAGTAGCAATCGGGGAGGGGAAAGAGCGCGTGCGCCCTTACTGCGGCCCCCGGATTGGTGAAAACAGGTCGTGTGACAGCGAGCACCCCAGCCAATCAAAGCCCGAGCTGGCTTCCCCCCCCCCACACGTTCAGGTCAGGTACTGACGAGGCTATGAACAATCGGCCGCGGGGCTTCTACAGGTCCAGAGGAGAGCGCAGGCGCAGAGAGCATCCGCTTTGGCCCGGGTTCGAATCCCGAGCGTCGCCTGTAAAGTCGCGTTGGTGCGGCGGGTATCTGTTCTGAATTACTCGCCTGTCTGAAACCATTTAAGATATCCCTCTGCTATCCCAACCTGGTGCTTTTCTGGTGCGTTAGGCTAGTGTTGCTCAAGTTTGACCACTTGAACATGTGTGGACTTCAACTCCCAGAATTCCCCAGCCTGGAGTCGTCCGGAACCTCCAAAGTGCAAAATAAATAAGAGTCCAACCATGAGCTACAGATATTCTCTTCTATTGGAACCATGTATGGGTGTCAAATGCTTCAGAAAGCATGCAGATGGGAGAAGTGTGCATGTGGGCAAATGGCTATTCTTTCTGCATGAATGCCTATGAAAAGGGAGCAAATGCCACCCTCCCTCGCCCTGATGAGGTTACCTAGTTGCGTAAGGAAAGCTCTGCAAGCAAACCACCATTAAAGAGAAATGCCCATTCAGGGACCAATCCTTCCACCCACGGCATTTGAGGAACTCCACCCCATCAGCCAAGATTACAGAAAGCACGGGAAGCACAGCTTCTGGAATTCTGCCTGGTATATTATGTAGGCTTGTGCTTTCCCTTGATTTTAGTTTTTTTATTATGCTGCCTGTTGAAATCACTGAGTCTTTTCAGAGTCTGGCAATGCACCAAGGTATTATAAATAAATAAATTCTTTCCTGTATCTTAATGCAGGTAGTCTTCATTTAGCGACTGCAGTTGGGGCCAGCAACTGAGTTGTTAAGTGGAGCGGTCATTAAGTGAAACTGCAACAGTGCTTACGATCTTCCTTCAGCTTTCCTTTGCTTTACAGACCTGCAAAGATCATCAATGTAAAGACTGGTCAGAAAGTTATTTTTTCATCACCATCGTAACTGAGAACAGTCGCTAAACAAGGCAGTTGCTAAATGAGGGCTATCGGTAGCAGCTCTGCTTTGGGTCACATGACCAGGAGGGAGGTGCTTAGAATGGAGGCGGCAGCAACATTCTGAGCCACTGTCCAGAATAGGCTTCTTCTATAAGGATGCACTGGGGAAATATTTGGGGAATTTTTTTCCCCCAGAGCCCCTATCGAGATCCAGCCCATTTTTAAGCTCAGCCTTTCTTTGACTAGCCTTTCATCCTCCATCATATTTAGTCCCATTCTGTTGTGTTTTCAGAGAATTGTCCTGCTGATGGAAGAGGGGTAGAATCCTGAGCTTTTTCACATATTCTTTTCCAAAATTCCACTAGGTTGGAAAGTATAAAAGTGCATACCAGGTTACAGATATCCAGTTCTGCTCTTGGAGCAACCAGAGAGTCAGCGGCAACTATGGGTATTCGCTGATTCTGGTCAAAGGTAAAACACCAACTACCCAAACTAGCATTTCGTGACAACTGAAAGTCTCCTGGGTCTTAAAGCAAAACGGGGAGTGCTAAAAATACAGGAGCAACATTTAGGGGGCTCTCCAACAATCACAAACCGGTTAGCAAGCTTCTCACTGGAAAGAAAGCACAGTTTTTCATGGACTACAGCGTTATGGAAAATTCTGGAATTCAGAAGCATTTGCCTTGTTTTTCTAAAGATGGGCAAAACTTTTGCTCCACTGCGCATTGCTTACAAATATGTGCTCATTAGGCCTTTTGGTGAAGCTGAATATATGCAGGATTTGCAGGCCAGCTGAAACTGAAACGAATGCAGATTGAGGTTTACCATGGAATCACACGCTTTTAACAGGAAAAATAACCATCCACCACTCAGGATTCTGGGTTGTAAAACTTGGGTTTTTCATGGCTACCTAACAGTACCGATCCAGTTGCACTGACCGTTCTAAAGCAAACGTCCAAAAGGCGATTCCAAACGCCTCCATTCAGAAATAAAACACCTTGCTTTGAAGAGAGGGAAGAAAAAGAGTTAGGAACCCAAAGAAAATGATTCGCTGCACACAGAAGTCTCCAGATAAATCTCTGTAATTTCTCCACGTAGAAAGAATCTCAGAAACACTATTTAAAACATTTTGAAAAACCACTGTAGGGGAGATTAGATTGGTGGCTCAATTTCAACATAAAGACAGCTTAATGGATACTCTCGGTATTCATATACTCCTTGGAAGTAAGTTAAGGCACAATAGAATACTGTCTTGTGTATCTTGATGAAGATATTTAGCCCCTGCTTTATTCTGAACACAGATCCACAGTGGGGAAACCATGACCCTCCAGCTATAGCCAAGGATGCTGTGATAGCAACATTTGAAAGACCCCTGTGTACCTACCCCTGTAACACACTAGCTACATCTGGCCACATGTGTAGGCAAAAGCATCCAGCAAAGTCACAATGACATCACATACATCATGGCGTCATCTGTGTGATGACCTCATGGCACATAATGCCACTTCTCTCCTTTATCCCACCACGGGTGCAGAGGCTGTTAAAAGAAAAGTGGGCAAAGTTAAAAATAGTCAACCACTGATCTGGATTAACTGTCATGCAGGGGGAGGTGGAAGCCCTTCATTTGTGCCTGGCACAAAGGCACTTATATGATTTTTATATATGGGTGCACACATTTTAAGATCAGTGACTGATACACGCATTGCACGGAAAAAGTGGCTTGCCTAACTGTGATCTGTTGGACCAACCATCACCAGTTGGGTTCTGACATCATGCTAAGCCATAAAAGATGATTTTTAAACCTAGTTCATGCATCACACTAAGCCAAAACCAAAGAAACCACATACAGCTTTGGGGGAATTTGATAATCCACCCAGCTCTTGCTGCTCCGATTTTACAGACTGAGATAATCGAGGAAGAAGAAATAGGAAGCACGTGCAGAGTTCTTCAGGCTGAAGGATGCAGTCTCTTCCATTATCCCACAATTAGTGCAATCTTCCCTTCCAAGTCTTTCGTGTCTTCTTCGCAGGCAGAGGGCTGTCCCGCAGAGATCACTTATATTTATCACCTTTTTCCTCCTTCAGTTGTCAGCAAGGAACAAATCTTCTGTCAGTTTCTCCTGGGTCAGAAATGGACGGTGCAGCCCCTCCTTCACACACCTGTGATGTCATGCACCATTCTGGGCTCGGCCTCCATTTCCAGATGCTCTTCCACCTCTTTGTACTGGCTTGGGAACATGCTGTTTCCCACCAAGGTGGCCACCCCTTCAGCCTCACAGTCCCCAGGCAGGGCGACGGGGACAGTGATGCCCGAATGGACAGAATAAGCATCAAGCAAAAATTCCTGTTCTGCCCTTTCTGAATAGTTCGTAGCAGAAGGCAGGACCACGTCGCTCAGGCTGGGGCCGCTGTAGGGTGAAAATCCTGGAATCCGACCGAAGTCCTCAAACAGGTCCGGCACAGTGATGCGCTCCAAGCTGGCCAGGAAATTCCCATCCTCGGGACAGGACAGGGAGACTTCTGCAAGCAGAACAAAGCCATGGGTAGGATTCAGGGTTTAGCAAGCAAGAGGTCACTTAGCAATTCACTAAGAATATAGTAACAGAGGCAGCCAGGTTTATTTCCTCTCTAATTTTCCTGATTGTGGGTGTATGTAGAGAGAAACAGTCTTAGATTTGGGGTCAAGTTCTCTGGGGGCAAATTCAGTAGCAATAAGGAATATTCCAGGTAGAGATGTCCGAGACGGGGTCAAAAAGGTCAAAATGATGGCCACAAACACACAGTCAAAACCCAGCCCCTTTCATATGCAACACATGGATGGGGCTTTGACGATACGGTCATGGCCACCAGCTTGACTTTTTTGACCCCCCTCAATCCCCCGAGTCCAGTGGTCTGTACTTGCATCTAATCGCAGAACACTCCTGCCCCAACAATATCTAATTGGGGTAATCGGGATCTCTCTGCCTCTCATCCAAGACCTAGCAGAGGTGCGCTGTTTGTCTAGTGCTCGAGAGATTGTCAGTGACGCCTCCCATCCTCATCATGGCCTGTTTTCTTTGTTACCTTCTGGGAAGAGGTTCCGCTGTGTCCGATGTAGAACG